ATTTCATAAATAAGTTTAATTACACAAACATATCTACAAAAGTAAAAACAAAATAATTTGCCAATTTTTAACACACATTCAGAAAACTTACTTTATTATATAATGGACTTCCAATTTTAACAGATACCTACTCACCCTAATCAGTCCATTAAATTGAGGTTTTAATGTGTTTTGAGTTTTTGTGCTCCCACACTCTTACACACCTAGGCCCAAGCCTAGTGGGTCTAATGGGAGATCTGCCACTGAGATAACCCTTTCCCATTTCATTATTAGAGTACATTTCTTTTGATTTTCATTTCTTTCAATAAATGATGATAAATGACATGATTAAAATAAATTTGAATTTTCAATAAATAGAATTACAAATAGTCACTTGATGGCACTCCTTGTAATATAGATAAAAGTAAAATTATATTAAATTGAAAACTACAATTATAAAAACAGTATAGTTGTCAACAGATTATATCTAATTATTTTTAATCCTGCATTAGGCCCATTAAGTATTGAATGAGTGCATAGATTACAATTGTACTCCATTTTCAAATTTCAGTTATTTATGTTAAAAAATTTAAATATGACCATTTTATTCAAATAAAATTTAAAATGAGCCTTAGAAATTAAATTTAATACTACTACTTTTTTTATTCATTGAAATAGTGTATATAAGTTATACCAATGGTTCCCAATTAGTGGTACATGCACCCCTAGGGGTATGTGAAATTGCATGAAGGGGTACGCACGGCAATCTAAAATCGGTCAATTTAAAATTTAAATGCATAAGATGAAGCAATCAAAAAAATAATGAGTGGACCATCAAAAATTCAGCAATTTACAACATGATGTGGAATGTACAAATTCGTTTATTTATAACTAAATATATTCTCAAAATTTCATTAAAAAAAATGCATTTGTGACAATACCTAAATGAAATTCTTGCTCAAGAAAGAAAAACTGTACAATTAACACAAATTGTGTTAATTGTACAATTATCATCATCATCATGTCAGCAAAGCGGCAATAAAATATTTACTACCATTTTGCACAACATACTTCTGCGAGAGCAGATTTTCAGCCATGACAAACATGAAAACTAAACATTGTCACCGACTTCAACTCAAAGATGACTTGAGACTGAAGCTGACCAAAAAGCAACCAGATTTTACAAAGTTGTGCAAAGAAAATTGTGCACATTTGTCACATTAAAATTAAATACCTTATATTATTTTCATTATTATTAGAATTGTATTTTAAAGGTAATAAATGTAAAAAAAAACTTATTCTATTTATCACTTGCTATCTACCCACAGTTTTGCTCGCATTATATCAAATTTTCTCATGGGAATAAGATATTTTCTCGCAGTAAAATGTAGCCTATGTCCATGTCCAACATGTAAGCTATCTCTGTGCCAAATTTTATTAAAACCTGTTCAGCAGTTTAGACATGAAAAAGTAAGACAGACAGAATTACCTTCAAATTTATAATATTAGTATGGATTAATATGAATTTCTGCTATAAAGGGTGCGCGAGTTTGAGCTCTTTCTTGAAGTGGTACGCAGGAAAAACTGATTGGGAACCACTGAGTTATACAAATGAACACATAGATTATAATTGTAATTGTGAACCGCAAGGGAGAGTCAACGGTTCCTGACCTCTCGTATGGACAACAGGTCGTTAAACCTGCCACTGTCAGGATAGCTTATTTTACGATAACAGTCCCTTTGGTTGGGACTCAAATGTCAGGCAAGTGGAGGGAGAGAATTTTGGGGTTGACGATAAGGTGAAGGGCGTGATCGAGTAAAGGAGTCTACCATTTAAACAAATATAAAACAAGAATTTAATAGAAAATTAAAATGGACAAAAGACTACACAAATTGCGTTTTAAACTGCTTAATATCTTGAGAGAGAAAGTTTTTCCGCTTTTCATACCTCTTTGCAGAGTTCATTTGTCTATGTAATCCGTGGGTTAAATGTCCAAATAAAGGTGTCTTTTATCCACTAGAGCACAAATTCAAAAAGTTCGCGACTTTGGCGATGATCTGTTATCGAGGATCGTAGATCGGAATTCGGCAGGTTCGGAGAATTGGCGCAATGTTGGCGGTCCAGCGTTCGTTAAGAGACTCCCCCAAGAGGGGGTAAGAACTGTCTTTTATAGCTTTTTGTGGGGAATTTCCACCATGTGATCGGATGTCCATGAGTTAAAGGTAATAGGTGTTCCAGGGACTTAAAACAAGTGACGAAAGTTGGATGTTAACTGTAAACTTTTCTGCAAGATGGGCTGCAAGTTCTGCAGAGAACAATAGATGTTGATAGTTATGACAGGAATGTTTACACATTCTTGGCTAAGATCGTTTTTTTTTCCAATTTGTTACATAAACGAAAGCAAATTAATTAATTTTTTTGTTATAAAAGAGCAGGATTGTCGTTACTAAAATTCCGGATCTCACATAATCCACTGAAAGTTGGTTTTGAATACTTATACTGGAGCTAACAAAAGTGGTTAAAATTGTACAGATAGAAAAAAAATGTTGTAATATAAGTAATTACTAAAAGAATTGCATTCACAGTCAATCAAAACAAAATTTATAAATAAATTATACTGAATTATATATATGGAACATATGCAAAACTTAGCAAGCTACTATCAATATATGTCATTACTTTTATCTATATACACTCAAATGTACTACTTGATTGACTGTATTTTATAAATATTTATGTCATTTTTGAGATGGAGCATTAGCAAAGCCTCTTCTATGTGGCTTACAGAATTGTGTTTGTTCTCAAAATCTGTTCAATCGATTTTGATTAAACTTTGCCATTTTCCATTAATTGCAATGAGGAATCCAAAAATGTAATAAAAAATGGGGGTCCATGTCTTCATTTTTGAGATGTAAGGTCATTGCACAAATCATGTGACTTTGTTGTGTGATGTTTCACAGTTGCTAGCATGTCTTCTATAGGCTTATAGAATTGAGTTTGTTCTCAAAATTTAATGGGCCAATTTTGATAAAATTTTGCAATTTTCCATTAATTGTGATGAGGAATCCAAAAATGTAATGGGGGTCCATTTAAATATAAAAAGTATAGGTCCATGACTTTGTTTTAAATATACAGAGGTATTAATGAAAGTGACAATGTCTGTGCTCTCTGATGCAATTGAGTATGCCTAATGGAATTTAGGTCCAGGAGTCAAAAATAAAAACAGCATTGCATGTACCTAATGAAAAATAGGCGTAAAAAACAAACAAAACACAAGAAGAAAGTTTAGTTCTTAGATCGTCTCTCCACACCATGTCTCCCATGGCCAGCATGTATAAGGATCAACTCTCCTGTGGCTGGCAGGTACAAGAATACTCTCTTTTGTGGCAGTAAGTTGCAAAGTTCACCTGTCTGCATCTGTCAGGTATAAGGATTGCCTCTTCTGTGCCAAACAAGTGCAGGGCTCGTTTCTTGTTGGCTCTGCCTCAATTCTATCATGATATGACAAAGTCACACAATGCTCTAGTGAAACTATCAATTTAATTTTCCTGCAGCAATATTTCAGATTTATTAAATGCTGTAATGTCACTCATTATGATGAGAGAATTTTTTAACTTCATAAATCTTTAGAATTTAGAAAAAAATGTTCTGAACTTCATAAATTTGTAAATTCATTCAATCATTACTAACAAAGGTAATTATATGTTTGTATGATAACAGTAAGCTCACTGTTTTTTCTATATAACAAAGAAAATTTTCTATTCTTTATTAATGATAGATATATTCAAAAACTTAAAATGAATTCAAACCTTACTGATATATCAGAACACAATGTTTCATTTCAATTCATTCTTTTAAATTTATATATTGAAACTTTTCTTCCTTATAAAATTAAACCTTCTGAACATTATTTGGATAAAATATAATTACTGAAAATATTACTTATAGTATATTTAAGTTTTTTTTAACTTAGTTTCTATATTTTTAAATTTCTGTATTAAAAAAACTGTCTAATTATTCATTACAAACATTTTAATGCACAAATAATAAGAAAAATTAATACAGTATAACTATTTATAACTGATAATTTCAAAGAATAATTTGACAATTTTAGAACTGCTAATAGAATAAATTCTCAGTAATTAATTTTCTTCACTTTTAAAAATATGTAACTAACAAAAGTTAATTAAATACCAAATTCAAGAGTACAAAGAATGAAACATAAAATCTGGAATAAATTTCTTATAGACTTTCTGATATATGATTTAAACATTTCTTTATAGATAATTGATAAAGTTAATTATTATATATAATTCTTACAATAATAAATAACTATAAGAATAATTTTTATATAGTTATTTACTATTGGTAGAATCTGTAAATTCCAATAAAATATTTTAATTTATATTAATAAAAAATCAAATGCTTTCTTAAAAATGTTATTCTTAAATTACATTGTTGAAAGACAACTTTAATGTATTAAAAACTTCAATTTTAGTTTTTATTTCTGTATATATAAAATATATTAATTTTGTGCTCATAGAGCAAAAAATGAATATATTATTTTGTATGCATAATATGCTATATGACAATAATCTGTATTTCATTTTTAGATGCTTTTATGTAAAGAGAGTCATTATGAAAATAAAGTAGATAAATAACTGATTTTACAAATAATTCAAATTTCAAAACATTTCATTTTCTCATAAAATTTTCACTTTATTTATTGAACATTGCATCAAAAATGCTATTTAGTAATTTATTATTTTATCCATTTTAATAATGAATAGAATTATTCTATTATTAAGAATTAAAATTATGTTAAAAACTGATAAATATATAACAGAAGTCAATGCAGATGATTGATCAGTCATTCAGAAGTTTGGCATTTTGATAATTAATAATATGCTATAGGAAAATTCATATATGATTTAGGTATTAATACTATTAATATTATGATTAAGTAGCTTATTAAAATAAAATAACAGAACAATTATGATAAAAAATATAAGGAACTAACCAGTTACACTGAGTTGAGAAGTACTGCTACTACGTTTTGAAAGCCCTCCAAACTGAGTAATTCTTCCTCCTCCAACATTTCTTGTTGACCTGTGATGTTTCTCACCATTGTCTTTTTCAGTTACAGAACCAATGGCAGTGTCTGATAGGCTACCATCCACCTTACCATCACTGCTACTCAAGCTATGATCCATAGGACCATGAGATGGTCGAGGTGGGTGTACAGGCCCATATCCCTGCATCCGGGATGTGAATTCACTAAAATAAAAAATTTATATAAACATATATGTCTTATATATTATAACACCTACAAATGTTTTAAAAATATTCTGAAAAAGAAAACTATTCTCTATGTGGTGAGCTGAAACCTGCTAGTAATAAGTCACACCTTCCATACTATTTCCAGCAAAACAGTTTAATAAATTTTTTTTTAAATTTATTAAACTGTTTTTCTGGAAATAATGTTGAAGAGCTGACTTATTAAAGAAAAGTTTTTTTATAGGATAGAAACATCCTGCCATATAGTTAAGTTCTTTGAAAAATTTTCACCAGTTAACAGTTTCCTTTACTGAATTAGACAAAAAATTCTGACTTAGATACAATAATAAATATTTGGGTACTGGATAGCTATTAAAAAGAGAAATTTAAAAAACATGTCACAATTAATAAAAAAAACCATTGCCTACCACTAAAAAGTCAAAAAATAAGTCACAAAAATGACAACAAAGTATATTGAAAACATGCTTCACCAGACAAATGCATTCACAAGTCAAAAATAGTCTTTCAAAATATTAATTTTAAAAAATTAAAAAAATTGCATACATTTTGTAATTAAAAAGCAAAATTAAAACATACATTAAATAAACTTTATTTGAATTAATATGTGCTCTTCTTGCTTTTGTAAAAGTTTAACTTTGTTAATTCACTATGAAACCTTATATAATACTCATTTGCCACTTTTTAAGTCCATATAAGCTTTTGACAAGCTAACACACTGCAGTTATCCTTTTCCTTAAAAAACTCTGGCTGTTTCATATGCACCTCATGTGATAAGTTACTGGTTAAGAAAGTAGTTTGAATATCATAATTCTTGATTTTCGTTTCTTTTTTAGCAGAAACTATTAAATGTATTTTTAATGTTGTTTCTGTAACTAGTGGAGCAAATACTTCATTGCAGTATTTTCCATATTTCTACAAGAAAACTTAGGCCACTAATCTGGCCTTATACTTTATGATGGTTCCACATGTATTCCTTTTCAATACCCACTTACAAAATCAGCTAAATACACTACACATTAATTATAGTCAATGTTACAAAACTAAGATTTATTGTTGCACATATGTGCTGAGGTTGCTGAATCAAAATATTTTTACCACAAGCTAGTCTGTTTCATTGTAATTACATTAAGTTTATTGCAAACATAATAAAAATATCATCTTCAGTTCAGAGAATACAGCTAGATAACACACATGCAATTTCTGGCTTATTTTCAGATTTTTGTTGGACTTTACCGATATGTTCCTTTTACTTTCCCAACTGTTATGTATATGTTACTGTAAAAGCCCATATATTGATAAATCCTAGGTTTTACTTGTAAATCTTCGGATTTACCAACATGAGTTAATAAATGTAAAGATTTTTATGAAGTGAGATGATTTTCCAGGCTTTTACCATTAGAATTTGGTACATGCTAGGTTTTACTAATGATGATTAGTAAATGTTCATTTGGAAATAAAACTATGAGTATTTTAATAATCATTTATTGCAATTATTATAAACAGTCAACTTACTAAGTCCTATTTATTAATAACTAGTGAAACAGTTTAAAAATACTTTTTTAATATAATAAAAAATTAAATTATCTTGTCAAAAATAATATAATAGCTTACGTTGGCTAAGCTAATGAGTAATCACAGTATTTTTTCTAATCATTTGGTATTCATTGTCATTTAATAAAAGTAAAAAAAGGATTTTACTTGTTACAACATGGAGAGCTATCATGGCATTTAGAATTACAAAGTAATCCTGATGACTTGCAAGTGCACTTTTTTGTTAATCATTTTTTTAGGCAGTTGCATTTCTTGAAACCTTGTCCTGACGGTCAAAGACAATTTTGCGACAACTTCTCAAAGACTCACTTCTTTATCTTTAACAACTTCTTCTATCCTGATAAAGTCTTCAGGACATGAGGTAAATTAATTTTGTGTATAAAGCTGCTTTAGCATTCTAATTTTGGTACCTAGTTGGTAAAACTCGTTGTCCTTTACATCTACTACAATTGCAATAACGTTTTTCGGGTCAGTTTTAGTTTTCATTCAATTTCAGGCACTTTCAGTCATACATTTTGGCCAATTTTCACATTTGGATATTTATCAACAGACTTGGCTTTCATTTTTTCAGCTTGTTTCTCCAAACTCACTTTTGGATTGTTACTTATAGTCACTACAGATTCTATCTTTTTTGGTATTGGCTCAATAGTTATAAGAACTTCCTGAGACTCAGTCGTATTTTCTGTCTCTGAATCGGTATCTCTCTGAATCATTACATTGGAATCATCGGTTATTTGCTTCGCCTTCATCATCTCAGTAATAATCATTTCATCTTTTTGTGTTTTATCGTTGACAGTGCTATTGTCTATATCCCCTTCTGACTCATTTTCAACAATGCTTTCTTCCTTGTCCTGTTCGATTGCATTTTCGACGTCATTACTTTGTTCCGTATTGTCATGCAAATGCAACAACTTCTCTAAATCTTCTTCAGATCTTATAACTCTAATCATATCACCAGGGATTGCTGAAGTTGCAAAGCCCATTTTCATTGGACAACCAAACATTGCTTCGTAGGGGGAACATTTGATTCCCTCGTGATATGCTCTATTTTTCATCGTCTGGATGAATCTTTAACCCTCTGACCACTTTGATAACTGATTGGTTTCCATCCACGTGCTCAACATATTTTCTATGTCTTGATTAGCACGCTCCACTGATCCTTGACTTTGACTATGTCTTGGCTTTCCATGTACGATTTTTACATCCGGCCACATGGAGCATAAACTCTCAATAACTTGGTTAGAGAATTCTTGGCCATTATCGGAATGAAGGATGCTCGACTCTCCAAAAGTGGTGAAAATATCCAAAAGATGGTATGCAACTTCTACGATGCGTTTAGTTTAAAGTGCACGAAGGATCACAAATTTGGTAAGATGGTTTTGGTACTAAAATAAATTTATAATTTCCATCTGGGGTAGTTTGTAGATCTATTAGATCAACCTGACAGCGTGAGTTCATTTCACTATGCAGTATAGGTCTGATGAAAATGCCCTTTTTCAAAGTCTTCTGTTTCTTTTGGCAAGGTTGACATAGCTTCAAATATGTCATAGTAGCCTCAACTGTTACATTTTTATACTTGCGGTTACATTCCTTAAGCATCCGTGTCCTTCCACTGTGAGATAAAGATTAAGAAACAAAATTTGGCATTGTGGCTTGTACATGAGGGGCATTGATGCTGTTACATTTTGGTGGTTAAAGGTCAAGAGGATAAGAAGATAAAGGTGTGTATTGTGTTGTATCTTGAAATAGATAGGACTTAATGAACATTTTATTTTTTATTATTATTTAAACTTTTTTAAAAAACTCATTCCTAAAATAGTAATTAAAAATATAAAAATTTTTATAACAAAATCTCATAACAGATGGTACTACACACAGTTCTATTTATTTTGCTTAATAATATAAAAGTTATTTTTTTTAAATAAAAACTCAGGTTAATGTTACCCTAGGTATCGAGATTGCGGCGTTTCCATTGATCTCTTATCGGGGTACCGAGTGACGCTTGCAATAGAGGGTGCTGAATTTTAACACGGCAAATTATGCAAATTAATTCCGCTAAACAGATGAGGGGCGTGTGTGCGTGTGAAAGTTTGATTTGCGTGACGACGAAAAAGAAAAAGAAGAAGAAGAAGAAGGTGGTAGGTTTGTTACGAAAATTTGTTTTTATTTCGTTTAAATCGAAGGTGTTTTCCCCCCTCGTTATTTTTCTTCCGAATGAGTGATTTGGACATTACCTCCGGAGAGAGTTTTGGCAGGGACGTACTACCTCCCAGGACTTTTTCCGTCTTCTCGAAAGTGACTATTCCGAATTGTGTCTGAATCCCGGAATCGACGAAGGGTTTGAAAATTTGTGGTGAAACTAGGATTACGGCACGTTGCCGACGAGTGTGCTCGAAATGTTCGAAACCTTGCACAAAGTCGTTTATCACAACGAAAAGAAATCCTGTGCAACGAAATGTCAAAAAAATGCCATTTTGACGGACGAACAGAAGGGGTACGACCACATAGATGACCCGGAAGGCATAGAAATTGCCCGCGAGACGGTTAATCATTCAGAGAGTTTTTTGTGAACCCAAAAATGGGGGTTCGCACCCAAAACGTAGAGAGATTGCGGGGATGCTCGAAAAACGAGAAAAACCTACCTAAACATTACACGGAATATCTATTGGATTCGTACACGTACAGTTTTGTGTATAAAAAATACCACGATCGGCCCTCAAAAAAACCAGGCGAACGTTTCTACATTTTTGCGCAACATTTCAGAGTAATGTGTATCCCGGAACCGGAAGATTACCATTACGGGAAGAGCCCAAGACCGTGGCCGCCACTCCCATTAATAAAAGTAAGAAGAAAGAGAAAACGCAGCAGAACAAAAAGGGAAAAAAAGGAAAAACGAGACATCACGCAAAAAGTAGGAAAAAAAACAGAGAGAGAGAGAGAGATAGAGAGAAGCACGCGAACGTAAGTAAATAAAAAAAAAAAAATGTTAAGCATTATTTTTACTTTATGTATATATTTGTTTTAGTAATAAGAAAGAATTATGAAATAATAATAATAATATTATTATTTCGTAATTCGATTTGTTTCACTTTTGGGGGCCGCCGCTGCTGCTGCTGCCGCCGAGTTTGCAAACAAGATGGCGACTGGAAGTGCCGACCAAGTTGGCAACCGACGCCATGTTCGATACATAGTGTGAGATCAGCCGGGGTTACGGAGTAAGTAGTACTCTTGTAACACTTAATCGGCACTATTCCGTGAGAATAGTTCTCGAGTTTCGAATCGAGAGATCCGATCTTAAAAGTTCTTATAGGAGGACTGTAATATTCAGCTTTATGAGGTTTAAAGACTGTGTAGTCTCTATCCCAATTGTCAGGTCCCGACACCAGTTAATCAATCTTATTATACGTGGATTAACACGCGTACGAGATCTGATTCAGATAAAAATTTAGAGGCATTTTAATTATAAAACAAACAAAAGTAAATTTAATGATTCTATAAGTAAAACTAATACAAATATCGAGGAACGAGGGGTATAAATACGACAATTTAGATACACTATATATGCATAGACTTATACTATACCGATGCGCGATTGAGAGAGAGAGCTCACAAAATCGTTATAAAACATACAACCTGTTTTAGTTGTCGTTCGTCTTCTTCTCTGTATGCAAGGGACACCTTGGAGATAAAGTTCATTTACTTCTTTCCATGGGAGATCAATATGTGCACTAAATCCAAGTATATTTTCTAAGTGCTAACTCTGGAATTATTCTGTATGTGACTCGTCTACGGACGTTGGTCATCAGGAGGAAAATGTATGGAGTTCGGACACTCTCTATGACTGTCGATGAACTCCCCGAATTCTGACAAATTCCCTCTATATCTGCTGATTTTCGACCAATCATCGGCCAGTAACTCTTTCATGAGAACGGATGAAAGGGGAATGAATGAGGGGTAAACATTTCCCATCTGAGTGGGATTTTAACCAGATAAGGGAAAGTCAGAGGATGTTCTAACTTCTGTGAAAGGAAGTAACATCTGTTATCTGCCTTTTCCCACGTTAAAACATTATTTTTCTCACCAAAAATGAAGTAATATTTGGTGACAATATTTAACATAATTAATAAATTATTAATTTAGTCCCAGGGGCCTTACAGGTCTCACAATAGGGTAACATTAACTAAAACTCATAACAGCCAGGAAAGTTACGCAACTTGTTGCTGGAATTTTTCTTTTCTGCTCAAGGTATTTTTTACAATATCTTTTCAAATATTGAGATTTTTTACAAAAATAACATTTAATTTAAAGTTTTTACTTAAGGTCACTAATCTTGATTTATTAACTTTCATCATGGTTGTTTTTTCTGATACTTTTTGTATTCTTTCAATGAGTTTCCTTTTAACTACTTCCTGTGTTAATTTATCGTGAAATTAATTTTCATACTGTCAGCAGATTATTGTAACTTTCATGTACACTCTTTAGATATATTGTAATGCAAATATCTTCCAGAAGGATCAAAGATCATTCATTTGTCCACCAGGCTTTTCAAATAGTTTATATGGCTTTCCATATCATTGTTTTCCAAAGATCCCCTTATATATCTTCTTCAATTTTTGCAGTGAAAGTTGACTTTTCATGATATTTTCACAAAGCTTTCCCAAAAGGCTATTGCCATGGTTTCTTTTCTTATATGCTTCAATTGATTATTTTCAACTAGTAAACTCATTATGCTATGAACTTTGCTGTCTTTTTCCATCCATAATTCTGTAATGGATGAAGAAAATCCTTGACCATAATCTCCCAAATGTCTTCTTTAATCAACTGTAGTTTTAATTGAAACTTCCATACCTGATAGTTGCTATTATTTAACTTCAAAATATGTGTCTTCATGCTTTCTGCCATCCTGAATTCTGTTGTTCTTTCAGTGCTTCAATTCTTTCATTCTTAAAAAATGTATTCAATTGATTATTTCTTTCTCTGTGAACTCTGATGATTTGGCATTTATATTATATAAGTGCCATGATAGCTGGGTGCATAACATGATAACTTTATGCCATATGAATGTATAAAAAACAATAGAAAGAAGGTAACACTGTATGACAAAAATTTATGAAACTTTATTCTTTGATCATTGATACCAGAAAAAAACAATAAAACTAGTAGAACAAAAATGTTATAAAAAATGGGACATTAGTACCCCACACAATTTTATTACACTAACAAAAAGGAAAACAAAATATTGCAATGGTAATAATAATTGTTGCAAAACATTGCATGTTAATATTTATGTCCATTCATTATAAGACATTAATAACAGAAAAAAAGATAAAAAGAAAACAGTAAATTTACTAAAAAGCATCCCACACTAACATTAAAGCAAATGAAACAGCTACAAAACAATACTTAGTGATTATTCAAAATTAAAAATTATTTAATGCTATAATTAATTTTAATTTATTCTATACTATTTAAGTTATGAATTACTTACCTCAGTGTTCTACTACCTGTAGGACGTTCAGACTGGGTAGAAAAGGCACTAGTGATGCTGAATTTGGAGACTGAGCTGGTCTCTGAACCATCACTTTCAATACCAACAGTAACATTCACTTCTTTCTCTGGACTTATTATAGATGGTGGCACGTTGTGAGTACCTCCATTACGACTATTCACTGAATTTACAGGTAAAGCTCTATTTCCTCTATGCATATGAACATGAAATTGCTTTTCAAATCCATGTCTGGATGTAATTTCACTGTCAGAATAAATGCCTACGGGTGTCATTGCTGAAAAAAATAATTAAAACAAATTAATAATAAATAAATTAAAAGCATTTATGAAAATTAACAATACAGAGATCATGATAAATATTAATATTTATTTAATAAGAATTTATAATTTTTATTTATATAAATCTTTTACATGTTTTCAGATAGTACAAAGGTTACCATAAAAGTTTTTGAAAATTGCTTATGTAAAAATTTGTAGATTAAAGTTAATAATAGCATTCAGTAATACTTTATCTNGCTTCAATTCTTTCATTCTTAAAAAATGTATTCAATTGATTATTTCTTTCTCTGTGAACTCTGATGATTTGGCATTTATATTATATAAGTGCCATGATAGCTGGGTGCATAACATGATAACTTTATGCCATATGAATGTATAAAAAACAATAGAAAGAAGGTAACACTGTATGACAAAAATTTATGAAACTTTATTCTTTGATCATTGATACCAGAAAAAAACAATAAAACTAGTAGAACAAAAATGTTATAAAAAATGGGACATTAGTACCCCACACAATTTTATTACACTAACAAAAAGGAAAACAAAATATTGCAATGGTAATAATAATTGTTGCAAAACATTGCATGTTAATATTTATGTCCATTCATTATAAGACATTAATAACAGAAAAAAAGATAAAAAGAAAACAGTAAATTTACTAAAAAGCATCCCACACTAACATTAAAGCAAATGAAACAGCTACAAAACAATACTTAGTGATTATTCAAAATTAAAAATTATTTAATGCTATAATTAATTTAAATTTATTCTATACTATTTAAGTTATGAATTACTTACCTCAGTGTTCTACTACCTGTAGGACGTTCAGACTGGGTAGAAAAGGCACTAGTGATGCTGAATTTGGAGACTGAGCTGGTCTCTGAACCATCACTTTCAATACCAACAGTAACATTCACTTCTTTCTCTGGACTTATTATAGATGGTGGCACGTTGTGAGTACCTCCATTACGACTATTCACTGAATTTACAGGTAAAGCTCTATTTCCTCTATGCATATGAACATGAAATTGCTTTTCAAATCCATGTCTGGATGTAATTTCACTGTCAGAATAAATGCCTACGGGTGTCATTGCTGAAAAAAATAATTAAAACAAATTAATAATAAATAAATTAAAAGCATTTATGAAAATTAACAATACAGAGATCATGATAAATATTAATATTTATTTAATAAGAATTTATAATTTTTATTTATATAAATCTTTTACATGTTTTTAGATAGTACAAAGGTTACCATAAAAGTTTTTGAAAATTGCTTATGTAAAAATTTGTAGATTAAAGTTAATAATAGCATTCAGTAATACTTTATCTATTATGTCACACACAGCAATTTATAACCTCAACTGCAATTGTTTTCTAGTAATTCATTTAAAAGAATAAAATACTACAGTTAATGTATTGTGATTATCGTATTATTTTGCTGTACAATTTTTTTTTATACAGTAAAAGTATTTGTTAGAAATGAAAAATATTTTAATTGTCCACAAAGCCATAACTAGGCAGGTGCAACAGGTGCACCCACACAGGACCCACTTGGAAGAGGGACTCAAACTGCTGTTCACAAGAAATTATATTTTTAAATTTTAAATTTTTCTGCCTTTTTACAGCGGTTTGGCGATTACAATTTGCCTTACTTAGACCCTAGATGTCTGCTCACCAGTGTTCCCAACTGCGGCGACTTTTAGAGAAATCTAGTGAGGTAGCAGAGACAAGAGACAAATCAGTCAAAAGTAGTGACTTTTGAGATTTTTTTAATTTTTTGAGAAATTTTAATTTATGTTTATAGTTTTCAAATTTACAGATTTTTCTCTACTTTATAGAACTCTGGCAACTACTATTATTATTATGATATACAAAACTGTATTTCTAGATTTTTCTACAGTGTGCAGAGCTAGAAGTCTCGAGGTTGTAAAAGGCATGCAGAAATTCTGACATTATTTTTTGCTTTATAGTGGTTTGCATATGTGGTGTATACCTCAATGGCGGATTAAGTGGTAAGCGAACTATGAGGCCACGTATGGCCTCGAAATAGCCCCCGAGGTCTTTAAAATGCTACTGAAAAAAGGGATTGTGAAAATGCAAAAGATAGAAATAGTCCAGAAAAACGCTTTGATATAGACATGGAAGTAATAAATAATATAGCTTTATGGCCAACGATATTAATTAACAGATGCTATTATTGATCATATTCTTAAAAAAAAAAAACCAAAAAGTATTAGGAATATAGAGACATGGGTGTAGTGAGAAGGCCTGGGTGGGCACGGCCCCCAGAAATCACAGCCGATAAGTGTTGAGCCGATTTGCAAACAGAAATAAAAGATTGAAGCTGAAAATCCTGAATGTTAAAAACAAAAAAAAAAAAGGTCAACGGCTCACTGTGCCCAATGTTATGATTAAAGGAAGTTTCATATTTTGTGTGTGTTAAGTTATTGTCAATTCATACGGAACTTTCATTTTAGTGATCAATAATTTGAAATAATTCAATTTTGTGTCAGGTTGGCCTCTACTAGGCCCCATAACAAAACTCTGGCTATGCCCATGTATAGAGAATTTGAAATCAGTGTATAAAGACAGAGATGAAATGTATTACAAAAGACTTTCTTATGATCATTTTTACAGAAAAAAATCAAATAAAATTGTGGGAAAGAGAAATTGGCTGATATTTTCAGAAAGAAGAAAAAGTGTTTACTGCTACCCTTGCAAACTCTTTTCAACATCAAAGTCTAAATTAATAACTGGTTTATTAAGTAGCGACAAAGTAGTGACTTTTCAAAATATTTGTGGCGAAATCAGCGACTTTTATTTTAAAATGTAGCAACGTTTATTTACGAATGTTTGACAACACTGCTGCTCACCAACATGAACATTCAAATGAATGGCAGAACTGACTGATATTTTCAACATGCCTATGATAATTTGCCTAACTTAGGTTAATGTAGTGTATTGTAGTTATATTGGAACTCCTCATCCTCCCTCAACTGTGGTTTTGTTGGTCCAGGTGAAATCTATTTGCTTGCAGTCGTAAAGGGTAATAAGAAAATGTAGACAAAGGGCCATAAAAAGGAGGACAAGAGAGTAGGAAGAAGATCAAGAGAGAGAAGCAGTAGTGAAGTGGTGGAGTCCGAAAGCGAGATTACAGATGAAAGTTTTTTGTGTGTTACGATATTTGGTTGTTCGAGTTGTGTGTGACAAATCGGTGGGGCAAAATCCGTAATTCAAATCAGGTTATCTACAGTTAGGTTACAGTGTGAATACAGCAATGTAGTCACTATACTTGTGTTTGTGAAAACAGTTAAGAATGCAAATAATAATATTAACATTATTTGATTAATATTAAGATTTCATTAACAGACACGTGATGAACGTGCTTGGCTAACCCTGCCAAGTTTGTTATGTTGGGTTTTTGTTATTTCTGTAGGTAATTTTGTACTTTTGTATTTGTATAGTGAAGTGATTTGCAATGTTAAGTTTTTATATACTTGTAGACTTTTCATTTAGTACTTTATGTACATTTAAGTTTTATAGTAAAATTTTAATAATTAATTTTATGTGCAACAAATTTTTAGGTTTTTATTATTTTCTGTAAAATGTTTGGTTGGAAAAACATGGGAATATGGGATACGAAGGCATCCAAGCAAATGATATTTTGTCACGTGCTTGCATTCGCTCTATAAATGATAGTTAGTATACAGTTTACAGTATCTTATAACAGTTTTATACTTGTACAGGCAACATGTTAAAAATAATATTTTTGTTTAGTTCTAGTTTAAAAATGTCTAAGCAACTGTCAGGTGCACAAAAGAGAAATATAAGAAAATGAAAATTAGAAGAATGCAAGTCAATGTTGCAACAATTTGTTAAATGGCTAAGTACAGAAACACTAGAGAATGGAAAAAGTGTGGAAGAGGTCAAACCTACTACTGCTTCAAAAGCTGATGATTCAACACTATATTTGACATCTACCCCTTCAATGAACGACAATTCTCAGAAAAGCAAAAACAAGGAGCCATTGCAAGAAGTAAAATCTACTACTTCACAAGATATTTTACTACAGTTATCCCATAATAATTCAAAAGAGGACGAGCCTGCACAAAGTAATGTCTCTCAAATCGATAATACTGTACAAAATATGTGCTCTACTGTTCCAGAAGAAATACTGCTAAATTACAATGACCCCAATTCCTGGCCTACTATTACAAATAAATTAATATATTCACTTGTCATACATGGTCCGGATCAAGGCGACGTTAACTTTAACATGTTGAAAGCAGATGATTCAGGGCGAAAATTTACAAAGGACTGGTTTTATGTTAAACAAATTAACGGAGAAATTGTTAAAAGAAAGTGGATTTTATATTCCATTAATCAAAATGCAGTATTTTTCTTTCCTTGCATACTATTTGGACACAAATCACATAATCTTTCAGATCCACAAAAAGGATTTCATGATTGGAGGCATCTTCATCCAGTTATTTCCTTACACGAAAACTCTCTGGAGCACTGAAATTCGTATGTGAAAAGTGATGGAAAAGAATCTAAAATTAGAAAATGCAATTACTGTAATGATTATGTAGTTAATTCAATTAACAAGGAAAAAATGATACGGCATGAAATATTAAAAATAATATTGGATGCTATTCTATTCTGTGCCAAAAATAATATTGCTCTTAGAGGTTCAAATGAAATTATTGAAGATCCAAATTGTGGCATTTTTTAAATTTGATTGAATTTGCTAGCCATTATAATACTACTTTAAAGAAACATATCGAAAAACATAAAAAAGGTTCAGTTTCTTATTTCTCACCCATTATTCAAAATGAAATAATAAATTTAGTCGGGGACAAAACTAGAAATGAAATCATATGCAGAATTAAGAAAGCAAAGTACTACACCATTGTATTCAACTGCACCTCTGATGTTTCAAGAAAAGATCAAATGAGTCAGATGATAAGATATGTCCATGTTGACTGTAATGAAACGGTAATGATTGAAGAAAGCTTCATCAACTTTATTCAGTCAAATGAAAAAACAGGAGAAGGTTTATCGACTGAAATTTTAAATAAACTAAAAGTTGATAAAGTAGATATTCAGAATTGCAGGAAGCAAGGATTTGACAATGATGCCAATATGGCTGGCAAATATAAAGGAGTAAATGCACATATTTTGGAAATTAATAATTTAGCAATATTTGTACCTTGTGTAGCTCATAATATAAATTTAGCTGGTGTCCATGCTGAATCTACAACTCCAGAAATGATTACTTTTTTGGTACTGTGCAGAGATTATTTAATTTTTACTCATCCTCAACAAGACATTGGGACATTTTAATGAAGTGCCTAAAATTATCACTTAAAAGTTTTTCTGATACAAGGTGGTCATCAAAGGCCAGATCAATAAAGGTGCTATATTTACAATTACCTGAAGTAATAAAAGGACTGCAAATGATTGCAAATGCTTTTTCAAATCCATAAGCTGTATCTAATGCAAAAGGTTTGATTTTGCAAATTAATTATAAATTTATCTGTACTCTTTCTGTATGGAATAAAATTCTACAATGTATCGATCGAACAAATAAAGCATTGCAACAGAAAGATTTGTCAATAGATTGTGGAACAAAATTAATTGCTGGATTACGTAGTACATTACAAGAGCTTCGAGATACAGGTTTTAAACAAAATTTCCAGGAAGTACAAAATTTGGCTGAAGAAATGGGTATAGAAAAGAGATTTCTTAATAATAAACAAAAAAAAAAAAAAAACAGTTAAGATGATGGAAATAGATGAAACATCAGATGAAGGAAGTAACTTGACACTCAAAAAATTATTTAAAATACAAATTTACAGTGTTTTAGACACACTATTGTCTCAAATAGATTGGTGTTATCAAAAAATAAAAACTATCTGTGACGATTTTTGCTTTCTCTATGGCTCATCTTTACAATATGTGAGTGTTACTGATTTTAAAAAATCGGCTGCAGATCTCGCTATTAAATATAGCAAAGATTTAAAAAAGTATGAATTCACAAGTAAAATTGAAAGTTTTAAGTTTGAAGTAACAACTCTTATACAAAATATAGAAACCGCATCTCTGCTTAATATTCTACAGGCTCTTCATGATTTTTGTTTAAATGAATCTTACCCAAATATCAATGTCACTCTTCAAATATCAAATATTTCTAACTCTTCTTGTTTCTATTGCTTCTTGTGAGAGAAGTTTTAGCAAGTTAAAGTTAATAAAAAATTATTTAAGATCAACTATTAAACAAGAATGATTATCCACTATTTCTATTATTTCAATAGAATACAATATCATTAAAAATATTAATTATGATGATGTAATTAATGAATTTGCTGAAATGAAAGCCAAAAAAGTTCAATTAAAATAAATCTTATTAAAAATCTATTGTAATGTATTTGTTTTATTATTTTCCCAAACCAAATAAATTAAGGTACCTAAATGCAAATTCTTGCACAGGGCACAGGAATGGCTAGTTACAGCTCCAATTGTCCACATCAAATACAGCTATCCCTTGATAATCCAACAGGTATGGGACCAAAGGGGTGTCAGATTACCAAAAGTGTCTGGATTACCGAAAGTGATTACATATTTGGCATTGTTTTTCTAGCAGTAGCCTACAATATTCCCTACGCCAACTGTTCAAACAGAACTGCTCACGGAAAACACACAAAATGTGTGTCATCGTGTAAGAATTGGGTGGGAAGATTCATGTCGCAACATGCTTCTGTGCAAGCAGATACATAATGGGGATGGGTACCTTAACGAGAGGTGCATCGGACTACTGAGCATGTTGGATATCAAAACGTCGGACTATCAAGGGACAGCTGTACTATCTTATGATAATATAAACAGTTTAGAAGAACTTGGACAATGATATACGGTCAGAAGAGCAGAGAAAAGAGATATTAAAGAAAATAATAGATATATTTATATACAAACCATCATGACGTTTTTGCATCTGCATTCTCATCTTTAATTGACGAGCACGTTCTTCTAAATCTAAAGTCATTTGATCCCTGCTAGCTCGACGAAGTGGTATCTGAGGTAACTGCCGTTTTTTGGGACTTGGAGTACCTCCAACTGAATGGGGATGTGCAGACCTCCTATTACTAATCGTTGTTATAGGGGAGCGGGGTCTGAAAATGATTTTTATTAGCATTGATAATATATATAAAAACTAATATTAATTGTATATTGCAAATACAGAAAAACATAATTGATATAATTTGATACATTAAATGATCTTAAATAATATGAATTAATATGAGACAATATAAATATGTTTAGTAGATATTGCATATTAGGACAGAGAACTTAGTACAGGTATCTCTCTTACAATACAGTCTCAAAATTGGTTTAGCTCTAACATGTTTAAAAAATCCTCTGTACAAAATTTCACAATTTTTAAGTGTAAACTCTGTTATTTGATATTTTTTTTATTCAAGTAAGCATGCATGTAATCTCAAATTTGCCCATGGATTTTAGAATATTAAAATTTTCAATTTGTTTTGTGCATTTTGACAGGTTTACTTTAATAAAAACTGATAGTGCAATTTGTTTCTTCCTTGGCCTTGCTTTCCTATCAATCAGATGTTTTGACATTGCTTTCAGACTTCAGCCTTTAAGACTGTTGCTGCTATTTGTTTTTATAGATTAATCTTTGTATTTAGTAAAGTTTATTTAAACACTTTTAGGTAAGTATTATGAAACTGTTTTAACCATAGATAAGTAACCATTCGTAAAAACAATGAACAAAATATGGCAGTATCTCAGTATTCAAACTGTTCCCAACTCAAACAATTTGATATTTGGACACAAATTCTGGAAAAAATTTGTTCAGAATCCAACTAAACAAATGCAACCCTCTAGAACAAATAACATATTTTTATTTTGTCATTCATAAAAAATTATGATGATAAAAAATAAAGATGTTGCTGATATTTCTGATCAAGATCAACAAAAAAAGCTCAGATGATGATGACACTTTGTAAAAAGAAATGCCCTTGTTTAACTAAAATTAATATTGATGCTTAATACAGTACTTTTAATTGTGATTGCTACTTAATTATTGATTGAAAATAAATTATTGATTGCTTTAATAAACATATTTCTCTTATAAGGAGACAGCCAGATGTTCGTATCTCTGATTCAAATAAAACCTGGTGAACAGTAGCTCTAAACCAGGCCTGGCCAACCCGTGGCCCACGGGCTTCATGTGGCCAGTCACGTTAAATTGTGTGGCCTGCTAAGCGATATTATATATCTATTAAAACTTTTGTTTTCCATTATGTTCCAAAACAATTAAATAAGTGAAAATTTACATGTGTCATTCTTATAATGCACAAGTGTGAGTACAAATTCTTGGTTTAACAATAAAATCTTATTCATTTTGTATTTGTTTGACTTTTTTAAAAGTATGTTTGCCTAAATTGTGGCCCACCATAATCTTATGTGTGATCAAAGTGGCCCGCAAAACAATTTGGGTTGGCCAGGCCTGCTCTAAACACAAGTAGTTCCTTGTCCAAATAATAGGAGCTGCTTCTCAAGCATTTATGAAAAATGGGTCTCTGAAAATTGAGTGTTTAACTTATAAGTCCAACATGTAGAACCTTATCTATTCAGCTATTGCCATTTCTAAGCAGTAGCTAAATAGATAAGGTTCTAGACCAGTGATTCTCAACATTTCTGAGGCCGTAAAATGCCATTCATATACTTATTACACGGAGCATTAGCATCAATATATTAAAAAATTGATAAGCAATTCCATGTTTACTATTCTCAGGAAACAATGAAGCAATAAAGTAATAAACTTTAATAAAAAGTATAAAATCTTTCATGAAACACTTCAGGTAGGTTTGCGGAACACTGGTTAAGAACCACTGTTCTAGACGCTGGAGCTACACAATACGGGTTTGATCCTTTGTGACTTTATTATTATTTTTTTTAATGTGTAACATAGTTATTTTATCATATCATTAGCATTATTATTACTATTCTTATTTGTGTTTAGAGCTACATGCTCACCAAGTTTCATTTGAATCAGAGATGTGAACATCTGGCCGTCTCCTTGTTAGTGACAAAAAAAATAGCATAATTTGCTAGCTTTTGGAACCTAACCGTACATTTTGAATCTGTCCTTTGTTCCATATAGTATGGATTTGCATAACATGACACTTTTTTGAAATGTAACTACTGTGTTATACAATAGATATCTGTACATGTTTGTAAAGAAGGCATCAAGGTTGTCAAAATAGTATGTAAACAGTCTATATTAATTACATTTGAAAATTACTATTTATCTTATAAACTTGTGAGGTCAGTCCTGCTCCCATTAACAAAGAATTTTTAGGGGTCAAATAATCAAAATTTTGACAATTTGCATGGACAGTGTTTGAGAATCAAATAGAAAAACAAACTTGTTTATAAAAAATTTTTATGTTGTGGCAAACAGAACTTCAAACCACAAAAATATAAATATGTCAGTAATCAGACTCTATTGAGTTGGAACAGTAAATGTAATCAGATAGGCAAACGAGTAAAACTTTCTCGGAAAAAAGAAGTTAAAAGAATCTAGTTGAAACGAGAAATGAATTGACTGTCCATCAATAAGGGCTAGCAGGCAGTATCCAAGATAATGATCTTTGAAAAATTTGTGTCAAATGGAGACATAAGAAAGAGTTCCACCCAAACTTTCAGATGATAAAGTCATCTCTCACCTTGCTGTCCTCCATGGACTAACCCAGAGAGTTAAGTTCAGTAACCAACAACCAAGATAAGAATCACTGATTAAATCAAGTTATCTCATTATCTACCAAATCAACTCCTTATAGAAGAAAAGTGTAGTTTGAATCACTGAAGGAAAGTGAATAAAGATGATTCCATGCTTCCACTCCAAGTTTCCAATGATCTTCCAATTCAACCAAATTTGTAATCAGAATAATTTATCAACCTCTAATACACATCTCAAAGCCTGATGAGTTAATATAATAATTCAACTATCGCCTAAATATTCTGGCTATAAAATGGCTATAATCAAATAATTAATACAAATAAATTTGGTACTAGAAGTAAGTGTTAGGCACCATCTCTTATCTAAATTAATAATTATAATTTAATAAATAATTTAGAACTTTATGGAGGAAAATAACTGATCCATGGCAGGGCTTGAACCAACAGCCTCCACTTGCCATGTGGTGCGCTACCAATTGCTCTAACCAGATCTCAAGCCAGCCTTCACTTCCAGAAGTATTTAAATTTCGATATAACCCTACTTCTGGAAGCAAAGGCTGGCTTAGGATCCGGGTAGCACAATTGGTAGTGAACTGCACAGCAAGTGAAGGCTGTGGGTTCAAGCCTTGCCCCGGGTCAGTTATTTTCCTCCAGAAGGTTCTAAATTATTTATTAAATTATAATTATTAATTTAGATAAGAGATGGTGCCTAACACTTACCTATAGTACCAAATTTATTTGTATTAATTATTTGATTATAGCCATATTATAATCCAAATATTTAGGCGATCATTGGACTATTAAATTTGTCAAGCTCTCATCCATTTTCAGAACTTTCATGCACTCTCTATCTTTCTCTCTGGAAAAAATAAATGGTCAACTCACTTGCATGTTATGTGCTGGGAAATATGCAATGTTATAAAAAAAATATGTAGAATTCCTTATACAAATAAACTTGTCAGAGGAGAAATTTGAAGACTTTTTTAACAATCATATACTTGGCCATAAAAAAGGGTTAAAATCCTCCACATATATGTTTCAAATTTGTCAGTTCAACCAAGGAAAAAACTGAGTAGTGTCAGAATTCTGACGTTTTACAATGATAATTTATCCAATCACTGTATAGAGGGGAAGCCCACAAACTCTTTGTAATCCTCTATTTTGATGTGTCTGAATATGGAATGTTAGCAATAATGCAATTGATTCTTGATAAGTCAAACTTCATTAACTTGAATCTCTAGCTAAGTTGAATTTTATTCTCTGATGTCTGACATCACCAGTTTGGTGTTAGACATCAGATTGCCATGGTTAATAGGTAAAGGTTATATTGAGTTCAACAAAGTTTTTTAATATTTTTAACAGCTGTTGTTACTTAACTTAGATGTGTGATTTAATTGTAACAATTGTGAAATTTAACACATTATTGCTAATGTGAGATTGTATTCTTTGTTTACAAGCTTATTCTAAACTTTTTTACTTCACATTTTGTTTGAATAAAATCAAGTTTAAATGTCTTCAGATAAAAAGCATATCAGGCATATTATGCTTTATTAGTTTTGTAAAAAATGTAACACCATGCTAACAGTAAAAAAATTCATAATGTGTATGAGGAAAATGCTCCTAAACTTAAAACATGTGAAAATGAGGTTGGTTTTAAAAAGTTCCATTCAAGAAATGTTGAAGTAAAGAATACATAATGTATAGAACATCAAATAAGCTGTTAACAAAGAAAAACTGCAGGAAGAAATTTTAAAAAACAATGAATAACACACAATATACATAACCAAACACTAAAAATAAAATAAAAAAAGCACTGAAAACATATGAGCATAATGAAGAGCAAGAGTGAGACACAACTTGGATGCACTACAGATTGTGTTTACACAGCTTTACAAGTTTAAATTAAGAAGCAAATATTCAATATATCAAAATATTAATGACATCATCTTTAGTTTTAATTCAACTAGATTGACTAATCATCCATCAAAAATGAGTGAAAAGTTTAACTTTTGTTGGATTAACTGAATGCTAAAATAATCTTGAAAAAAATTAAACATAAAAAGTAATATTGATGACATCCATTGGCTTGGATTTAGAAGCTGATTATTCATCTACATTCAAAATACTTTTCTGAGTTACAAAATTTCCTCCCTCTATATAAGAGGGGGAAAATTATTGGAAACTTGTCAGTTTTTAAGATGCAGGGCTTAATTATTTTTTCCAAAAAAACAGGAAAAATAGAAATGAAGAACCAAAAAAAAAAAATAAGATAAAATTATTTTTAAAAATAAGACAAAAGTAGGACTGCAAATGATAAAAAAATAAATAAAGATAGAAATAAAAATTTATTTATTCATTAAAAATATCAATAAAAGTGTATCTGTATAATTAAAATGGGTGTAAAAAT